AGATGGTCATTAGGGAAAAGAAGCGCAATTATCGAGTTATTAATAATGTTTTAAAGAAAACCAGAAAATTCCAATTACTTCCGAAGATATGCTAGAAAAACTGAAATTTACCGATTTTCTTTTTATTATTTTATTTCTGATGTTATTTGAACAGGTACACTTTCTCATTGCCAGTCGTCAACTTTATTTTCTTATATGGCCCGTAAAAACTGTATTGAGTAGACCTTTTTTATTTCGAATACAGCCCTATATAGCACAAAAAAATATAAGTTGGAAACTATTGGTTTCCACTAGAATCTAGTTGTAAGCAATAGTTTCCAACTAGTTACTAGATGGTTCATGTTAAAAATATTTACCTACTTACTGATTTTGGTTTCAACTTAAGGGTGTATTCCAGTTAAATTTTACTTCTATTTGACGTATGATGGGTTGCATATACTTAATTGTAATGAAATGGTAACGAATAGACAAAGATTGAAGAATTTACCTGCTCAGCCATTGTATAAAGTAAACAAGTAATTACGCTAATTTACCCAGGTCATTAGTCATTGTGATGAATATGCATATATAATTAAACATCGATTAGAAAACGCAAATCATTGTAACAACGGCTAATCCTCAATAATTTCACTTTTCTCAGTTTATCATAAGACGTATATACCTATATTTTTTAAACACAGTAATTACTCCATGAATTGTATTGACCCTATCTGGAAAATAACGCATGTAAGCGAATAAGTATCTATAATTAGATATCTTTAAAAAATGCGCATGTAAATCCCAAACATTTATTAGGTCCGCCATGAAACCTTACACTTTTTAACGTTATGTAAGTTTATTACAAAACCAAAAGCCCCTAATCCTTTCGTTTGATGACTGAAGCCAGTCTTGGTAGAAGTTACTTCCTAAACTTAGAATTTGCAATATAAAAGTCATCCCCGTCATCCTGTACCGCCACCCTTGGGAATTTCGAGGGAAGATCTGGATTCTGCAACCGTATATCTGGATTTGGTGCCCACGAAAATCCCAGGGTAACGATTTCCAAGCGATTTCTCCAGCTTTTCATATGTTTATATTTTTTTAAATAATGATGCAATAATGAATACCATAGTGTGAATTTTTTTTGCACCTCCTTTTGCTCAACCCAGTACTGTACAACATTTTACTGAACACCATGCCGAAAACCGCATTTTGGTACGAACTGTTTGCAAAAAGTTACAACTGTTTTCCTCATTTCCCTAGTCAATATTGCAGCATTACTCATAAACAATGATTGTCGCTATAAAGTTATTTCTCAGCTGAATTTTGAATAATGTAGTTTTTGCATGCTAGAGCAAAAAACTTGGCCTTACGGTATGGACGTATTTGTATGTACTATGATAATAACTATTTCTACAAGCGCGATAATTTTTGGATTTTCAAAAATGCGTACGTACTTTGTTTACATACTGCAGGAAACATCATTAGGAAGCAATTTAGGTCACAAATATATAAATTCGAAAACAAATAGAAAGTGTCATTAGCATAAGTTGTAATAATTAGATCTTGTTCTATATAAAGGTGATAATATCTTTGATTGTTTATTATTGTGCGTTTCTTGGTTGGCAAGTGCATTCACGGTATAACAAAGTAAGTTTACTCGAACATTACTTATACTAGTGACTTTTTGTATTTTTTAATACAGCATTTTTAGTTTGTTTATATACATTACTTTGGGTACTAACTCTTTTTAATTTTTCTTTCAAATCTGTTATTACAATTTTCATTTTAACTTGTTTACTTTTTACATTTAAATACATCATATTTTCTTTTCCGCTCTAACCAATTTTCTCTTTCCAGCTTCTAATTATTTTATTTCAGCTTTAATTAAAAAATTTATTTTTTAGCTTCTAATACTCTTTTTCAGTTCTATCTAATCGATCTTTCCTTTTCAGCTTCTAATCTTTTTTCTTTTTAGCTCTAATCAATCTTTTTTAGCGTCTAATCAGTATTTTTCTTTTAGCTTCTAATCAGTTTCTTTTTTCAGCTTCTAATCGCTATTTCTTTTTCAGCTCTAATCAATTTTTTCTTTTTAGCTTCTAATCAGTCTTTTGCTTTTCAGCTTCTAATCATTTTTTCTTTTCAGCTCTAATCAATTTTCTCTTTTCAGCTGTAATCAGTCATTTTTTGCGTCTAATTTCTCTTTAAGTTTTTAATTAATTGTTTTCTTCCAGCTTCTAATCAATCTTATCTTTCAGCTTCTAATTATTTTATTTCAGCTTTAATTAAAAAATTTATTTTTTAGCTTCTAATAATCTTTTTCAGTTTTATCTAATCAATCTTTCCTTTTCAGCTTCTAATCTTTTTTCTTTTTAGCTCTAATCAATCTTTTTTAGCGTCTAATCAGTATTTTTCTTTTAGCTTCTAATCAGTTTCTTTTTCAGCTTCTAATCGCTATTTCTTTTTCAGCTCTAATCAATTTTTTCTTTTTAGCTTCTAATCAATCTTTTGCTTTTCAGCTTCTAATCAATCTTTTGCTTTTCAGCTTCTAATCATTTTTTTCTTTTCAGCTCTAATCAATTTTCTCTTTTCAGCTGTAATTAGTTATTTTTTGCGTCTAATTTCTCTTTAAGTTTTTAATTAATTGTTTTCTTCCAGCTTCTAATCAATCTTATCTTTCAGCTTCTAATTATTTTATTTCAGCTTTAATAAAAAAATTTATTTTTTAGCTTCTAATAATTTGTTTCAGTTCTATCTAATCGATCTTTCCTTTTCAGCTTCTAATCTTTTTTCATTTTAGCTCGAATCATTCTTTTTAGCGTCTAATCAGTATTTTTCTTTTAGCTTCTAATCAGTTTCTTTTTTCAGCTTCTAATCGCTATTTCTTTTTCAGCTCTAATCAATTTTTTCTTTTTAGCTTCTAATCAGTCTTTTGCTTTTCAGCTTCTAATCATTTTTTCTTTTCAGCTCTAATCAATTTTCTCTTTTCAGCTGTAATCAGTCATTTTTTGCGTCTAATTTCTCTTTAAGTTTTTAATTAATTGTTTTCTTCCAGCTTCTAATCAATCTTATCTTTCAGCTTCTAATTATTTTATTTCAGCTTTAATTAAAAAATTTATTTTTTAGCTTCTAATAATCTTTTTCAGTTTTATCTAATCAATCTTTCCTTTTCAGCTTCTAATCTTTTTTCTTTTTAGCTCTAATCAATCTTTTTTAGCGTCTAATCAGTATTTTTCTTTTAGCTTCTAATCAGTTTCTTTTTCAGCTTCTAATCGCTATTTCTTTTTCAGCTCTAATCAATTTTTTCTTTTTAGCTTCTAATCAATCTTTTGCTTTTCAGCTTCTAATCAATCTTTTTCAGTTCTATCTAATCAATCTTTCCTTTTCAGCTTCTAATCTTTTTTCTTTTTAGCTCTAATCAATCTTTGTTAGCGCCTAATCAGTATTTTTCTTCTTTCAGCTTCTAACCCCTATTTCTTTTTCAGCTCTAATCAATCTTTTCCTTTTCAGCTCTAATCTTCTCTTTTCAGCTGTCGATCTTTTGTAGCGGCGAACCAGAATTTATATTTCTAATCATTTTTTTTCAGACCCTACTAATTTTCTTTTTCAGTTTCTAATCGTTTTTTCTTTTCAGGGTCTAACATATCTTTTCTGTTTTTACAAAATGGGTCGAAAATTGTCTTTACTTTCTAAAATGCCACGATTAAGTAAAAAAAGGATCAGCAGAGGGAACAGGATGAAGATGGCGCGGGAAGCCAAAAAACAAAACATGACAAGCACAGGAGAAGAGTTTGCATCTGACGCTTTGGCATGTGTATCGATGAAAGAAGAAGTGATACCACAATTGCAAATTGAACAATGTAGGGAGGGAGAGTATTCAGAATTTGATTCAACAACAGAATCTTTTTCAGAGGAAGAGGAAACGTTACCAGATTTGGAATTCGAAAAACATGAAAGAGATTCTGAAAACGAAGGAAACGATATTAGTGGCCGCAGAATAGTTGACATAGGCCATTTCCTCAAGGCTTTAAAGTCTTTGAAGCACGACGGATTTGAGTGTTCGTTTTTCGACATGGATGTCATACGAGAAAAACGCCAAGGGTTTGCATCTATTTTTACTGTACAATGCAAGATGTGCAATACAACTTCGTCTATATCTACAGAAAGTGATGACAATGATAAGATGAACATAAATCTATCGGCTGTATCTGGTATTATGTCAGTTGGTGCTGGTTATGCCCAATTAGCCGAATTTGCCGCAGCACTTGATATTCCAGCACCATCGCATACATCTTACGGTATTTATCACAATGAAGTTTGCGATATATACCAGCGTGGTGCAATAAATGCTATGCAGAAAGCTGCAGAAGAAGAAAAAAAACTAGCATTGGAAATGGGCGATGTTGATTCCGAAGGATATCCCACGATTGCGGTAGTTGCAGATGGAGCATCGTGCAAAAGGTCTTATCGCACCAATTACAACGCGTTATCTGGAGTGGCATGTATTGTTGGACTTAGAACGAAAAAGGTATTATACGAGGCGGTTAAAAATAAATTTTGCTTAATTTGTGCTAGAAAAGATCTCTACAAGAACAACAAATGCCCACAACATACTTGCTACAAAAACTGGAGTGGTACATCGACTGGGATGGAGGCGGCGATTATTGTCGAAGGATTTCAAAAATCAATCGATATGTATGGAATCAAGTACACCCAATTAGTTGGAGACGGTGACAGTAGTGTACATCGAAAACTAATTGAAGCAATGCCCTATGGACAATCCACCGTCATACAAAAAATTGAGTGTAAAAACCATATTTTGCGGAACTATATTAACAAAATAAGAGACTGCTCCAAGAAGACAAATGTTAATAAAAATCTGAGGACTGCAATTGCCAATAACATTCTTCGTTTTCGCAGTGCCGTAACAAAAGCTATACAATTTCGGAAAAGTCAAGATCTACCAACAAGTAGTAAAGTTAGAGAGTTAGAACGCGATATATTAAATGGACCTAAACATATTTTTGGAGATCACAGCGAATGTCAAGAACGTGGGTACTTCTGCCAGGGGCCTAAAGAAGGAGAAATAAACCTTGTTCCAGATTTACAAAATTGCGGTATATTTGAAGATGTTATGTCAGCAGTACGGTCCGTGGCATATCAATCAAAAAGTTTGGTGTACGACGTAACCAACAATGTGGCCGAATTATACAATTCACATGTGGCAAAAATTATTGGAGGTAAACGTGTCAATTTTGCGCAACGGCGTTCCTATCAAGCCAGATGTGACGCTGCAGTTTTGGCCCATAATGACGTTGGCGGATTTCACGAAATTGTGCAACGTGCAGCTGAGAAGATACCTGGGAAATATACAACAGAGTACTGTGAAAGGGAAAAACGGAAACTGCAGTCACGACGTAGTAGGGAACCGCAGAAGAAAATTAAGAAATCATACTGTGGAGAAGAAGATGCTGACTACGGACCAAATGCTGCTGCGATAATTCCTGATATGGACGACACCGACATGGCTTCTGCGCAAAAGAAATTCATGCTCCACCTTTCGGAGAATAGGGAGGAGATTTTACAAGAGACCCTTGGGCAGCACAGGAGTAATTCTTGGTACGAAGAAAGACGTAAGCGATTGACTGCATCAAACTTTGGACGGATCTGTAAATTGCGAGAAACAACATCTTGTGCTAATACAGTTAAAACTTTGCTGTACAGCCAATTTTCGGGAAGTGTTGCTACCAGGTATGGTAAAGAAAATGAACATCGCGCTATTTCAGACTTCGAAAACATGATGAATATGAAAGTTATCTCATGCGGATTTTTTGTAGATGAGCTTCATCCATTCTTGGGCGCGTCACCCGATGGACTGATAAATGATAACGCAATAATTGAGATAAAGTGTCCATATACCGCGAGGATGTACGACCCAGTTCAAGGAGTTTTGCAAAAGAAGATAACTTTTTGTGATATTGTAGAGCACCAGCTCAAACTGAAAGCAAGAGACAACTACATGTACCAAGTTCAAGGCCAATTAAATATAACAAAAAAGGACATATGTTATTTTGTGATATGGACCCCAATTGGAATATCGGTGGAAACTATACATAGAGACTGTAATTTTTGGGAAAATAATATGCTTCCAAAGTTGGAACAATTTTATACCAAAGCATTGTTACCAGAACTCATCGATCCCCGACAATCAAGAAAGTTACCTATTAGAGATACATTTATTACATTGTGAGTATACTATTTATACGTCATAAATACTTTTTTTTACTAAAATTCTAGATGTGTCACAAAATTTCGTCTAACACAAAATAAATGAGACCTAACGGTTTTTGCGCAAACTATGTCTCTTTCCGACGGATGCTACATGGGAATAATCTCAAATTTGTATCACCCTAAAATTTTAGGGGTGTTACAAAATTTCGTATAATTCGGGAACAACATAAAATAATTGAGAACTAACGCTTTTTACGCAAATTATGTCTCTTTCCGAAGGATGCTACAAGGGAATAATCTCAAATTTGTATCACACTAAAATTTTAGGGGTGTTACAAAATTTCGTATAATTCGGGAAAAACACAAAATAAATGAAAACTAACGCTTTTTACGCAAACTATGTCTCTTTCCGAAGGATGCTACATGGGAATAATCTCAAATTTGTATCACCCTAAAATTTTAGGGGTGTTACAAAATTTCGTCTAAATCGGAAAAACACAAAATAAATGAAAACTAACGCTTTTTACGCAAACTATGTCTCTTTCCGAAGGATGCTACATGGGAATAATCTCAAATTTGTATCACACTGAAATTTTAGGGGTGTTACAAAATTTCGTCTAATTCGGAAACAACATAAAATAAATGAGAACTAACGCTTTTTACGCAAATTATAACTCTTTCCGAAGGATGCTACAGGGAAATAATCTCAAATTTGTACCACACTAAAATTTTAGGGGTGTTACAAAATTTCGTATAATTCGGGAACAACATAAAATAATTGAGAACTAACGCTTTTTACGCAAACTATGTCTCTTTCCGAAGGATGCTACATGGGAATAATCTCAAATTTGTATCACACTAAAATTTTAGGGGTGTTACAAAATTTCGTATAATTCGGGAACAACACAAAATAAATGAAAACTAACGCTTTTTACGCAAACTATGTCTCTTTCCGAAGGATGCTACATGGGAAGAATCTCAAATTTGTATCACCCTAAAATTTTAGGGGTGTTACAAAATTTCGTCTAAATCGGGAAAAACACAAAATAAATGAAAACTAACGCTTTTTACGCAAACTATGTCTCTTTCCGAAGGATGCTACATGGGAATAATCTCAAATTTTTATCAAACTAAAATTTTAGGGGTGTTACAAAATTTCGTATAATTCGGGAAAAACACAAAATAAATGAAAACTAACGCTTTTTACGCAAACTATGTCTCTTTCCGAAGGATGCTACAAGGGAATAATCTCAAATTTGTATCACACTAAAATTTTAGGGGTGTTACAAAATTTCGTCCGGGAAAAACACAAAATAAATGAAAACTAACGCTTTTTACGCAAACTATGTCTCTTTCCGAAGGATGCTACATGGGAATAATCTCAAATTTGTATCACACTAAAATTTTAGGGGTGTTACAAAATTTCGTCTAAATCGGGAACAACATAAAATAATTGAGAACTAACGCTTTTTACGCAAACTATGTCTCTTTCCGAAGGATGCTACATGGGAATAATCTCAAATTTGTATCACCCTAAAATTTTAGTGGTGTTACAAAATTTCGTCTAAATCGGGAAAAACACAAAATAAATGAAAACTAACGCTTTTTACGCAAACTATGTCTCTTTCCGAAGGATGCTACATGGGAATAATCTCAAATTTGTATCACCCTAAAATTTTAGGGGGGTTACAAAATTTCGTATAATTCGG